CAGCAGTCTTCCAGGTGAGGATGGGTGGCAAAGACTCAGTGAACTTAGGTGAGGTTGAGGGGAGGATGGAGCAAGGCCCACCAGGTTCCCCTGGCGGGGGGTGGGGTAGGGAAAGGCCCACGAGGGCCCTCCACCCCCCAGTTGTCTTCTGGGTGAGGATGGGCAGCTGGGACTCAGAAGTACTCCTGTGTTTTGAGGAATAGTCTTGCTATGCAGTTGAGGTTGCTGCTCTTGAGCTCACTGTGTACCTCAGGCTGGCCTTGAACTCACAGCAATTCTCCTGTGTCAGCCTCCAAAATGCTGTGATTATAGGCATGGGCCACCAAGCCCAGCTGTTTTAATTTTATTTTTGAGACAGTCTTCCTATGTAGTTCAGGATAGTTTTTTTTTTTTTTTTTTTTTTTTTTTTTTTTTTTGATACTGGGGATTGAATTTAGGACCCTGCATTTGCCAGGCAGGCGCTTATGCTACTGAGCTATTTCCCTGGTCTCCCAGGTTAGTTCTGAACTCACTACATAGTCCAGGCTGGCCTCAAATTCACAATGATCCTCCTGCCTCAGCTTCCCAAGTGCTGGGATTACAGATGTGTTCTCTCACACCAGGCACTATGAAATTTCAAATGCTTGATTTTTCTGCATTTATGACAAATTAAAACCCTTGAAGTTAGTACTGATCTCTGAGCTTATTGGTGCTTGTATACTCTCTTCCTCCAATAGCCTTTGTGAGAGGGGAAGGAATGAATGAAAACCACAAAAGAACTTTGTTCCCATTAAAATATCAGTGTTTGTAATAGTAAAATTTTGACTTTTGTATGAATATGAAATAGCAGATTAACACATATCAAAGACTATAACACATTAATTAATCAGTGACCCAGAGAAATAGTATAATCAGTTCAGAGGAAAACTAAAAGGAAAAGTACATGTATATGCTATGAGGAATGTTCAGTTTTTTTTTTTAACAATACAGAGAATTATTGTTATTTTTTTGATGCAGGGTCTCATGCCTGGCAATACTAGGCATTGAACTCAGGGTTTTTGAATTGGATTACATCTTCATCCCTTTTAAAAATGTTTTTTATTTTATTTATTTTTATATTTTAGGGAAGGGTCTACAGGGTGTTCAGGGCCTCAGTACTAGATTGGACTCGTAGTGATCTGCCTGTTTACAGCCTCCCAAGAGCTGGGATTACAGGCACGTGCCACCATGCCATGTCTCTCTCTTTTTTAAAAATAATTTTATTGAGAAAGAAGTAGCAATGAGACAGTTTCAAAACAGGTTACTAGGACAGTTAAAATAATTAATATATTACATATTGTTGTCTTTGTAGTAGTTAGTTGTAGTACAAGATGCAGACATGATATCTTGTCTAAACACTATTAGTTCAAAACTTTCTTCTCATTGAACTAAGAGAAAGTAGCTGTAT